GCAGCTAGCTCGTTCACCGTCTGCCACGCCACAGCGGTGTGGAGAGACAGCCGCTGCATCTGCAGCCCGTGCCAGTTCTTGGTGGTCCAAGTGACCTCGTCGCGTCCAGGTGCTGAGCGTGCGAGAGTTTGTTGCTCAGCTGCTTCGCCGCCTGCCGAAGTGGCGAAGAAGAGCGCGGACGCCCTCCCCGAAGTTTCGAACGCCTCGAAGTCAAGCAAGAAACGAGGTCGCAATTCTAGTGGCCGTGGCGGCCGCGGGGCCCGTGTGCCGGCCCGGCTGGACCGAGAGGCGGGTAGCAGGAGATAGACACATTAGAACAGGTGGCATACTCGGCGGTCGGAACGTCCCTTTCGCATGCCGCTCTGCTTGAGGCGCTCAGGCGGAGCGACGCCGGTCGGGCGGCGATGGCTCGGCTGCCGGAATCCTTGCAGCATGATCTGGGCACCGCGCCGAACCACTTGACTCTCACCCCCGATAAAGCAAAAGGGACGAAACCACGGGACGAACTTCCACACAGAATTTCACTAGCAAGCTCGCTCGCACAGCACTGCGCACGGGACTGTGCTGCATTCCATGAAGGTAATCCTCGTCGACCAGTATGTATGTTCGAAGGTGAAATCCAGTCGCCCTCACTCCCAAGGACCCGAACCCGGCTCAATCACCATATGGCAAAATTTGTGAGCACATCGGCAAGCGAGTCACGCGCCGCTTCGAAGGTGTTAATGTCGGAGGCGTCGTGATCGCGTGGGCCCCGGCCGACGGCCAAGATGAGGCGCGCTACCGCGTGCATCACGACGACGGTGATGAAGAGGACCTCGATCGGCAGGAGCTGGAGGACGCCTTGGCGCTGGCCGCCAATACTCCGTTGGAACTCAAGGGCCGATTCCTCGCCGTGCCAACCTCATTCTTCCAGGTCGAGGCGGGGTTCTACCTGGCGCGATGCACTAGCGTCAGCGCCGGCGGCTGCGTGTGGCTGAGGTACGTCTCGGACAACTACTCGCACTGGGTGCCGCACGCGATCGCGAGCAAGTGGCTCATCAGCGACAGCGAGGCGCGCCGAGGCGACTGGGTTGGCTCTGGCGGCGTCCCCGCCCAGGCTGAGGATGTGGGGGAGGCGGATGAGGCGGGCGAGGCGGGCGAGGAGGGCG